GGAAAGAGAGAATTTTGAGTAAGTCTACAAGTATTCGTTTTCATGTGCTAAGTGTTATAATGCATATAAATAGGCTTCTTGTTGTTTATTTGAAGAGATGGTGAATGTTACTCAAACAAATAGAAGTTTTCTCTTCTCCTCTCCATTCACCTTAAGAGGTTGATGCTTGTGTTCTTAATATTTTGTGTAAATCAATAGATTTATAGAAGTCATATATCTATATTCTGAATGAATTATAGGAATTATTTTTTTTTTTATTTTTTTCTTTTATTATGCTTTCCCGTTACATCTCTCCCCGCAGTCCATCGCTCTCACATCTCTGTCGTGCAACATCACCCTATTAGAATATTGTTGTGCTTCCTCACACACTTGCCCTTTAGATTAGGGATAATATTTTATCTCTTTTTCTTTTTCTTTTTTAGAATTTTTTTTTAAATTCAAAATATTTTTTAAAAATTATTTTGAAGTTGTTAGTTTCTGGTTAACTAATTAAATATATATAAAAAAATTTGTCGCAAGAAACAACCTTATGTACCAAATAACATATTTAAAAAATAAAAGAATTTTTTACTATTACAAAATATAATTACCAAACTTTTTTTTTTTTCAAAACATAGTGATCTCCTCTTAATAAAAAAATGTAACGGAATAATAATTATTAAAAGAAGGTAAAGGAATACATTTTGAATTTCAAAAAATTTAGGGGCATACGTCGTATTTCAACAAAACTGAGGGGTGCTTTTTCGCTTTTGCGGAACTATATATCACCCAATCGCCATCGACATCCAAAATCTAGGGTTAGGGTTTTGGCCGGTCGGCACTTTCAGCTAAACACAGAACTCTCTTTCACCCTCTGCCACCGAGGTATCATATCTTTCAGTCACCATGGGGTAAGTACTATTTCGTTTCTTGCGGTTTTTCTCGTCCATTTTCTTTCGAATATTTCAAAAATTTCTGCTCTCGTCTTTTTCTTCATGGATGTTAGAGATTTAATGGTTCAAAAGATCCAAAGCATGGTTGTTTTCATAAGCTCTCCATGAAGCAGATAAGGGAACTTTATGAACAAAACAAAAATAAAAAAGTTCATGTTTTGTGCAAATCATTATCACTTGGTCTGTTTGGTAACCCAGAAAGCAGAAAAATTTGAAGAGAAAGTAAAGATGTTCTGAAAAACAAAAATTATGAACATGGGTTAGTTCAAGATCAACCTTTGGCCAAATAGAATTGGCTAGTTATCAAGATCTTCTATGGGAAAAATGTAGATGCTTTAAGTTTATGTTTGAAATGTATGAAAAACATTTTTTTAAGTTTATTTGATTAGTTGTATGAAACTGAATTCCAGGATAAAGGGGGTGAACTTTTTCAGAGTTTTTGTGTGGTCAAATTGATTAATTGATGAAATTGTGTTGAATTCCTGAGGCATTTGTATATATTTCATATTGTATTGAAGTGGAATTTCTTAGCGTGATTTCAGCAGG